AAGTGGTGGATTAGGAGGCTTTCCTGGAGGTGGTGCATCCAATAGTAATTATAGAAATGATGGGTTAGGAGGTACTGCTGCAGGTAATACATCTAGTGGTATTCATGCAAGCGGTGGATTAGGAGGCTTTCCTGGAGGTGGTGTATCCAATAGTAATTATAGAAATGATGGGTTAGGTGGTACTGCTGCAGGTAATACATCTAGTGGTATGCATGCAAGTGGTGGACTAGGCGGCACTCCTGGAAGTCAAGCATTTAATTTTAATTCTAAAACTGGTGGGTTCAGAGCTGTTCCTGGCGGTGGTGCATCCAGTAGCAGTCATAGAAGTGATGGATTAGGAGATACTGCTGCAGGTGGTGCACCCGGTGGTATGCATGCAAGTACTGGACTAGGAGGTACTCCTGGAAGTCAAGCATTGCATTTTAATTTTGAAAGTAGTGGGTTCAAAGGTGTTTCTGGAGGTGGTGCATCCAGTAGCAGTCATAGAAGTGAAGGATTAGGAGGTAATACTGCAGGTGGTGTATCTGGTAGCAGTAGTGCAAGTGGAAGACAGGGAGGTATTCCTGGACGTGATGTATCTACCGGTCGTGATGGGAATAATGAACCAAAAACTATTCCTGGAGATAGTTTATCGAGGGGTAATAATAGAAGTGATGGATTAGGAGGCACTACCGAAGGTGGCGAACCCAGTGGTAGATCAGGTGGTACTACTGGAGTTAGTGGATCCAGTGGTAGTCATGGAAGTAGTGGATCAGGAGGTAATGCTGGTAGTAGCGGATCAAATCGTTTTGGTGATTACGGTGATTCGTATGGATATTCGAAGGTGTGGTAAACAATTACATAAACTACAGTTCTCTTCTAAATAACAATGTATTAATATAAAAATACTATTCGAGTGTGTCATGTTATAAAGAAAATTATTTTTTATTCGAAATAAAGTTGTTTAACGACTGTAAATAAAATGTAAAAGGCGTCGCATATTCATATATGTGTGTGTATGTGTAGTGCTTTTTTATCAGAGCGATTTTCATATATGTCATAAAAATTGGAATTTGAAGAAGTTCTTTTTAGATTCACTAAAAGAGGATGTGGGTGTGGGTGTATATTAATACTAATGCAACGCATCCATACCTACACTCGCATTTCCGATTCCTTTCGGTTGTTAAATGAGTCAAAATTTTCTGAATCTTTTGGTTTAATTATCAGAAATTCTCATTTGAAGTACTCGCCTGTTTTGATGATACACTCATTTGTTTACTTGAATCGAAACTATTTGACAATTCATCTTCTAATAAATGAATTGGACAATTAATTTTTCTTTGTTAAATGTTTTTTAGGTTTCTGGACTGAATAAAAAAGCTCCACTTACTCGTTTCTTTGCTTTATAAAGGCCACTAAAATTTAATCATATATAGACATAATTATTCAATATTAATTAATTTAAAAAAAAAGGAAAATTTTCAAAACGTTTAAATGCTAAATCCAATAAATTTAGACGACTAGTTGAACGTCAATCTGAATCAATGTCTGAATTTTCAAGTAATGTTTGAATAAGTGAAGACTAAAATAAAAATTGTACACTATGAGAATCGCTTTAGCTAACTGATAAAGTACATAGATTTTCTTATTTCCATGATGATGAGTACTATTCGATAATGTTGAAATCAATGATAATGAAGATATGTGTATGATCATCAATTGAACAAAGTATTCCAAATTGTTCAATTTCTTGAATTAGAAAAATTCTATTTAAATAAAAATAGAGATTGTGTCAGTACAGCTCATTGAAGACTATAATGTAGAACTTACATGTGTTCTTTAGTCTTATTATACTCCTCCCAAATACTTGAAGTGAAAAATTTCTATCAGATTATCAATGAATACATGAGAAATCAAATTTTACCCGTTTTTGTTTTTGAAGTTAATATGATTTTCATTTTTCTTTCATCCTTGGTTTTCTTTACTTCTTTCAGCTGAGTTTCCTCCACCATTTCTTGTAAAGGGAGTGAGTATGTGTTTTTGTCTAGAGAAAACTACTCTACTGTTGAATCGTATCACATCTAAAAACTTCTTCAATATTCGTTTTCTTTTTATTTATACACTTAAAGTCATACAATATTTAACTATATAACCTTTAGTGACAGTTGAGATAACTGCTTTTCTCATAGTTCTCAATAGAGCTCGTTGAGTATGGGTCTGATCTCTCATAGTTGGTACTCTTAAAGTAAAAGTTTATAATGATCACATTCATAAATGATCACTATCAAGATGCCATGAGAAATGCGGGATAAATTATAGTGAAAAATATTATGAGTAAGAATTCGGCAAATTTCCAAATTTTCGTGTCGCAAGTCTCTAAAACTTACACTCATTCTATTTTTCTTCGAAAAGGAAAACGTAATGTGAGTTCTACAAAAAACAAAAACAGTCAATAATTTTATCATCAATTGTTAATGATGATGGATTAATATCAAATAAACTTTGAATATTCCCCAATTGAATAAGTGGAATATATTTTCATACCGAATGTTTTTCACATCTATTCAAGACACTCGAAGAAAAGAAACAGTTAAATGTGTTCGTATTGCTGTTAATTCTTGTTGAAGTTCAATAACTTGAAATTTTTCTATATAATCATGATGTGCAGCAAGAAACTCTGACTAAAATTTAACGACAATTATCAATAATATGAACAATATTAAACATTGATAAATGTTTTTCCGTTTTTCTACTTTGTTCATTTAATTTTTTTTGCTATTTCACGTAATTTAACCAAATGAATCAATTAATAATTGATAATCAATATGTTTTATTGATGTATATTTAAGTAAACGTTGAATAAATCGTATCATTAAATACAGCTCAATATTGTTCACCTAATTCAATGTTATGTTCACGAATCTATTCGAAATAATTTTTATTTTTTACATTATCGATTCAATGACATAAAATTACCTTAAGAAAACAAAATAAAAGTTATATGAAAAATAATATTGGAATTGATTACAAAAAAATAGTGCATTCGAAAATGAAAGTAACGATCTGTATAGATGAGCTAATGTAATACAAGAAAATTCAACTAGTCCACCACTGTTGCAATTAAAATCCCATAAGCGTCCGACTCCAATCGGATCACAAGAATTTTGACCTATGTCGCACGCCACTGTACAATATGAATGATTTGTTCAGTACGGGGCTGCCAGATCTTCCGAATTTTGAATATTTTTTCAACACCTGTTATTTCTCTAGATTCGAGATTTAATGACTTTGATTATAACTTCTAATTTAACTTTCATTAACAATTCTTACACTGTCGTTGTTCTATTGTAATCATTATATAATACAATTTTGAGACTATTTATAATGTAAGATCGTCTGAATTTAAAATCTATCCGAACTAAACGAATACTTTGTATTGTTTAAAAACAAAATGCCATTTGAATCAATAACTTCTTTGATATGGACTGAACTTTAAGTTTAGAAAAGTGTTATTTTACATGATAATCGTCTCTTGTTATCCTGAATCAAATTCAGCCATGAATGATGAAGATGATGATTCAGATATGAATTTAAGTGAGATTGAAGAAAGAAATGAGTATATCGGTAACAATTTTTGCACAAAATGCTGATAGAGCAATACATATGCCCATAAAAAAGGTGGTATATATATTGGATAGTGAAACAGCTGCTTTCCGAACTTTTTCCGAAATAGAATATAAAAAATTCCGAATTTTTTCGAATTTTGGTTAAAACATTTCGATTTCTAACTTTTCGATCTGGCAACCCTGGTTTAGTAAGAGGAGAATTCCATAATAGTCTATGAAAATTGAAATACATCAAAGGTATCAAATCTCATTACACTTGATAATTTTTTTCTAATGGTTTTATTCGACTGATAAACAAGCAGAAAAAAATTTATGCATTCTTTTTGAAAGCTATTGTTTGATTGTTGAGAAGCGAGTTCGTATTCAGACTTTGCTATCGTATCGAACAATCAAATAATGTTTGTAGAAAAACTATACATAGATTTTTTTTCTTAAGTATATGACGAGTAAAATTTTGGAAAAATATTGAGCCTCTTGATACTTAATCATTTTATGATGTTTTTTTCTTTTGCAAATATAGTGTTTGCGATAATAACATTGGTCGAGTCTGTTAACAACAGAATATTTTAATAAGTAACTCAACAGGCTCTTTAATTTTTTTAACCAGCAAAATATATTTCACTGAATAATTATCTTACTCGAATAATGTTTAATAACATTGTAAAATTAATATTAATTTCATTCGATTTCTCTTAATTCCATTTTAATTGAATAAAAATTATACATGTTAATATTTTGTTCTCTATAACAATATTGTCATCAAATGCATTCTCATTTTTATCAATATTAAAGGGTGTGGGTGTGGATTAAAGGTATCACAATTTATAGTGTTTGACTAACACTCACACCCACGCCCTACAACAATTATCCAGCGCACACTATCATAAACACCTTTCGATGTCATCGAAATCTGTTGCTTAAAAAGCCGATGGCTGTAGAATCTGATAATGAAAGATCAATGTAATCTTTGGAATCAGCGCATTCGATTATCTTTTTTTTTCACATGTTTTATTTGTTAAACCGTAGCACAATAAAAAGCTGTTTCTCAGCTGTAGTATTAAATTTCTCATTGTAAAAATCCAGTTTTATAAAAACCGAGATCTCTAAAGATGTATTGACAAAAACCATCGTCATATTCGAAATCAGCATGCTCAGTTACCTATCGCCCACTAAATTTTACATGAAAAGCGATTTAAAAGTTGGAAGCCTTTTCTTGTGAGAACTTTTGGAGGTTGAGCATCATGAGGTGGAACATTCTTAGCTCAATAAAACTACAAAAAGAACTGTGAATGGTTCTGCAAACACCGCAGAACAAAAAGAGTTCTGGAACGTTCCGATTTTTTTTTCAGAGCACGCTGAATAGCATTATTCTCGTGGATTGGTAATTTTTCGCTGAGGAAAAATTTATATAACTATAAAAAAATACATAACTATAACATGAAAACATTTTTGTCTTAAGTGTAATTATAATATAGTTTTTCTATGTATTTTTGCAACTATATCTTGATTTTGTATGTAAAACGAGGTGTATAATCTTCTTTGGCTTTGTTGTTTTTGTGAGCAGTCGATCATTTTTGTGCCGAGCGTCATATTTTTGCTTGGAACAATCATTTGTGTTCCTGATCGTAAATTTGCCTAATCTTCTCTTTCATCGATGATTGAACACATTTTGAGTAATTTCTTTATCTTCGTCCAATAAAAAACTAACAGTTATTTAAATGGACCATTCCTATTTGATATTCTTTTCTCTTTTATAAGAATCGCATCAATTTGAACAAACTAAAGTAGAGTAAGTCATCTGATGATGCCCTTAAGTAAAGTCAGAATCTGGATCATGGCAGCGTGACTCAATCTTACACTCACACCCAAGAAAACAAAGCAGTGTAAGCGAATGCTACCTGACGAAAATCCTCTGACGAAGGATTGAAAATAATCGTAGTATTCTTTTCTATAATACTTGCACTCGACAAATTCGATGGATGCTATTGATCTTATTTCATGTGACATGGGGCAGTCCAGTATATTGTTTGAAATAACAAAATGAATGGTTACATGACGCTGTACTCATATCATCTAAGACGCTAAACCTTCAACGTATACACTCCGTTAAAAGTATGATTAGTAAATACAAGCTTCATACTTTGATTCACTCTCAATAATACTCGTGAAAATCAGAAACCACGATCTTCCTACATAAATATTATCTCTCGTGATGTGACAAAAGCTTTATTCAGAAAGAGATTAAGGACGAAAATATTTTTCCACAACCACATCCTTTTTTGATCCACAGGATGGAGAATTCATTCGCAAGGATACTGCTCGAAATAGAAACGTTAGAAGAATGATAGGTGATGACTGAATCGAATTCAGGTAAGAGCCAAACAAATCAAAGCGACAAATGTTATTTGCACAATGAAGGAAGGATAAATGTATTAAATAACAAATCGATGAAGAAAAGAAAGAAAAAAAAATGATTTTTTGATGGCAATAAGTATTAGTATCGTATAAAAAGCGTAGTATTGAGTAAAAAGAAAAAAAAATCGAACGAAATATAACGAATAAAAATGACAAATTTTTCTTCTTTCCGTTGCTTGTTGTTGTACGTACTCAAACTCAAAAAAACACATTCTTTCTCAATCCGCTTGAAGCCGAAACAATAAATATGATGCAGACTTTTATCAGAAGTAGTGTTCTTTTAATTAACAAGGTAAAATTCACTCGGCACCATCCATTAGCTTTGAAATCATTTTTTTCTCTACGATAGCATCTCTCAATACCAACATTAATAGTGAACAGAACAGTGTCATCTACAGCGGCTTTGTACGAAACGAAAATTTTGGCTATTGGCGCAACTAAAAATATAGCTGCGGAAGCACAAAAATCTTTGATCGCATTGGGATATAAAAATTCAAAACTACTTGGCGTTTACAATACAGAGGAAAGTGATCAGGAATTAATCACTGCACTCAAAGAAAAGCAATGGGATGCAATATCAATTGGTATATTTAGTTCTTTTGACTACT